GGACCAGTGGGGAGGAGACAAGGGAGAGTGAGCCGGACGCCAGCAGTGAGTTGTTCCTGGATGCCCGGTACCGGAGAGCTAATAGGCGTCAGGAACAGTTGCGCAGTTACAGGAGGTAATTGCACTCAGCTGGTGGTAATTAGGCTCGTCTCCAGACTATAAAAGGACTGCTTGTACACACACCCCTTTTGCAGAAGTCAATGCATGAACTAATGTTGGAGAACAGTACTGTGAGCTTGGCAGGCTGGATTGCTGCCAAGGACCTGTCTGTCTGTTAATAAATTCCGTAAAGTATCTTTGGCTTGGAGTGTGTTGGTGTGGGATGAGGGAGGGTCAGAACACAGTTCTGTCCTCGGGAGTGCAGAACAATCTTCATTGAAAAAAAATGTATTTATTTTCCTTTTCTTTTTCTAATGTTGTGCACATGTGCAGACCCTTTTTAGGTGCAAATGCACACGCATGGTTTTTTTTTTGGCATGATGAACTGGTAGTAATGGCGGCAGGAACCCACCCACCTCTGGGCAGGTCCCTTCTAAGATGTTGGCCACTTCCCCATTCCTTCAGCTGTCTCATTGTCTTCACCTCTTCCTTCTCTCTCTCAAGGCCATTCCCGCAGATCATTACAAGTGCTAAACCTTCTCAGGGGTTACAAAGAATGAGTTCCAAAGCTGAAGGTAGAACCAACCTACATAATAAAATGAATATTGGAGAGAAGAAGTCAGCCGACAGCAGTTTCTGCACCTGTTGGACAAAGGGGTCTTTGGGATTGTTTATGGAATCCATGTTGACACCGAAAGAGGTGCTTGTGATCACATCCATGCTGTAGGCACCGAAGGTCCTGGACAAAGGCAAGGCACAAGTGGTCGAAATAAGGAAGAAGAAGGAAGATGGCCCTCAAATGTCCACCTGGCTCTTCCATCTCTACATGTCTCTACACTTTTATGCCTGGAACATTTTCTTTAGGGGATCTGGATCTGCTCGTAAATGTCTCCTGGAGTTCAGTTGTCTCTTTGATCTAGATGGTCAACATCTGGATGTAGAACATGAACGTTGGATTTTAAGCTTGGTCAGCTTTTTGAGGCACTACGGGACCTACTTCAGCAGAGGTGACTTTCTACGTGACCACCTTCTAAAATGGGATCTTGATCTATTGCCAGATCACAGATTAACAGAGTTGGAAGGAGCCTTGTAGNTATATAAAGAAGTTAATGAATCCAGCTGAATCAGTTATCTGTGCGTGCTTTCTGGATTTGATTTCTCTGCAACAAACTGACAATTAAACCTTGTCTTAGGTCTGTTTTCTACATGCCTGTCATTCATGTACATCTTCCAAGATGTGCTGTTTTATTCACTCCCCTCTCTTTCTCTCTTTCTCTCTGTGTTTAACCGAACTGAGGAACACAACGGAGGTACAAGCTCTCTGTGCTGTTCATTCATTATCGTCCTGGCAGGCAAGGCTCCAGTTCTCAGCCGTATGACACAGGGAGATAAGTTGCAACAATAGAAACCCAAACAATTAAGCTGCACCTCCTAGGTGTCTGGAAGTCGTGATCCTCATGTTTTCACACTTTGGTGCCAACCTTAGAGGGGAGGCTGAATTTCCTCCCTCCAGGGAGGACAAGCACAATGCCTGGAGTTATAAAAATCTGTTATAAAATCTGTCCCTTGTTCCCTCTGCTGATAGTCCCTTTACTCCCCAGACCAATGATCTGCAACAAACGATTGCAGTGATTTTATGGACTTTTGATCCATTGTCATCTTCTCTTATCGAGCCACCCAGAGTTGTAATCCTAATTTGCATTAACAGAGGGATACAATCAAGTTCGGGGGGGTACTAATACCACTCTATAAAGCCTTAGTAAGACTACACCTAGAATACTGCATCCAGTTTTGGTCACCACACTATAAAAGAGATGTTGAGACTCTAGAAAAAGTGCAGAGAAGAGGGTCAAGCTATTCTCCAAAGCCCCTGAAGGCAGGACAAGAAGTGATGGATGGAACTACATCAAGGAGAGAAGCAACTTAGAATTAAGAAGAAATTTCCTGACAGTGAGAACAATTAATCAACAGAATGACTTGCCACCAGAAGTTGTGAATGCTCCAACAATGGAAGTCTTAAAGAAGAGATTGGACAACCATTTGTCTGAAATTGTATAGGGTTTCCTGCCTGAGCAGGGGGTTGGACTAGAAGACTTTCAAGGTCCCTTCCAACTGTGTTATTCTATTCTATTCTATTCTATTCTA